ATTAGACACACGAGTCTCTACACTACTTCAGCTGACTGTTGGACGATACAGCATTAGACACACGAGTCTCTACACTACTTCAGCTGACTGTTGGACGATACAGCATTAGACACACGAGTCTCTACACTACTTCAGCTGACTGTTGGACGATTGTCCTTTATAGGCCATGGAGGAATAACGCCCCCCCCCTCCCTCTCTGAGAGTGAGCAGGAACATGTCAACTGTGAAATGAGCCCAGACATAGACAGACATAGAAATAGACACAGACACGCAGAGACAACAGATAGATATAGACACAGATAGACATCGACACAGACATAGTCATACACAGACACAGACAGATAGTTTTAGTTTTAGTAGAGGTTTTACGGCACTCGCAACTGCATAAGGTCATATGAGTGCCAGAAAATTAAATTAGGTGTTACAAGAGAGTAACAAACATGAAAAAGAAGAAGGGGAGATAAGGACGATAGATGTTTGATAGGAAAGAAGAAGCAAACCACACCAGAGCACCCGCCAACCACCCACACAGACAGATAGACACAGACACAAACAACCAAACACAGATAGACACAGACATAGTCACACACAGACACAAACACCCAGACACAGATAGACACACACAGACATAGTCACACACAGACACAAACACCCAGACACAGACAGACACAGACATAGTCACACACAGACACAGACACAGACACAGACAGATAGACACAGACACAAACACCCAGACACAGATAGACACAGACACAGACACAGACAGACGAGTCCTCAAACAACGAAGAGAGCAACAGAGTGAGGCTGTATAAATAAGTCATTCCCCCTCCACACAGTTGGCCAGCTTCCTTGAGCTCAGAGCTCTGCTCACGAACACGCAGATTTGGACTTCACACGATAGTCACCACAGTTTCGCGTCTCTTCGACAACCCCGAAATATCGATCTACGCTGATTCATGACGGAGCCAAACACCGCTACACGGAGATGGGAGGGGCGGGGGAGGAGGCTGGGGGTTCGAGTGGGAAACACAGCTCTAAATAACGAGGAGAAAAACTGGGCGCATTTTCTTCCGAAACGGTTCTTACCGATGAAAGTTAGACCTTTTCTCTAGATAGCCGCCCCCC